ACAAACAAAGCCACTACAGAGTAATTCCTGTTATCCACTAAAATCAATAAAGAAATTAAAACTTAGTGTGATTTCTATTTATTCACAGATAAAAAGCACCTCATTTTGAAGACATTTATTTATCTCTAAGACTGTGAGGACTGCTTTGACTTTTAATTTTAATATGGCACGATAGGCTTGATCAATTAAAGCAACAGTATTTTAAATGCTTAGAATGTTCCTTACAGACCCTTTGTGTTTCACCTCATGAATGAGGATATATTTAAAATTTTAAACATTACAAAATAATAAATACCTGGTTTTTTTGTTTTTGTTTTTTTTAGTTAAAGTCTCACTGTATCACCCAGGCTGGAGTGCAGTGGCATGCTGCTCACGGCCACTGCAGCCTCAACCTGCTGAGCTCAGGCGATCCTTCCATCTCAGCCTTCCAAGTAGCTGAAACTACAGGCATACACTACCATGCCCAGCTAATTTTTTGATTTATTGTAGAGCCGAAGTCTTGCCAAGTTGCCTAAGTTGGTCTCAAACCACTGGGCTCAGGTAATCCTCTCGTCTCCGCCCCAAAGTGCTGGGATTACAAACGTGAGCCACAATGCCCGGCTAATAAATATCTTTTAATAAGGTATATGGCAAAATAAAAATATACATTAAACAGTGAAGTCATTTTTTTTCTTTATAAATGGGAAACTGATCAGACCCATTCTATTTTTTTCTCTTTTTGCTGTCTTAATTCTCTAGAGGAAAAAAAGGCTTTATATTTTATATTATTAATGTTATAAATCCAATTCTAATACTCTGCACAAAAAAGTACAAAAGGAGATAGTACATCTTAAGCCTGTATTTTCTGAAAATATTTATAAAAAGTAAAACCAGACTTAAGTAGATAACACAGGAAAATACATTATTATTGTGATTATTTAAAATAATCCAGAATAAGTAAAAACACTCAGCCTGGTGTGATGGCCCATGCCTGTATTCCCAGGACTTTGGGAGGCCAAGGCAGAAGATTACCTGATCCCAGGAGTTGGAGACCTGCCTAGACAACACAGCAAAACTTCATCTCTACAAAAATTCAAAAACTTAGCTGGGCATGGTGGCGCCTGCACTCCCAAATAATGGAAATGCTGAGGTGGAAGGAATGCCTGAGCCCAGGAAGTTGAGGCTCAGCCACAATCCATGTGATTATACCACTGTATTCCAGCCTGGGAGAGAGTGAGACCCAGACTCAAAAAAACAAAAACCAAAGCCAGGTGCAGTGGCTCATGCCTGTAATTCCAGCACTTTGGGAGGCCGAGGTGAGTGGACTGCCTGAGCCCAGGGGTTCGAGACTAGCCTAGGCAACTTGGAGAAACCTCATCTCTATGACAAATAAAAAATAATAATAATAACCGAGGGTGTGGCGGTACACTCCTGTAGTTCCAACTACTGGGGAGGCTGAGATGGAGGGATCGATCACCTGAGCCCAGCACGTCAAGGCTGCAGTGGTAGTAAACATACCACAGCACTGTAGCCTGGATGACAGAGTGAGACTCTGACTCAAAAACAAAACAAAAACAAACAGAAAAAACTACACACTCAAGAATGACACATTATTCAACAAAGTTATTTACATATATACAAACAAATACATGGCTAAATAAATTAATATTTTCCTAAAACATGCATATTGTGAAGTCTTTTATAATTAAACTTATAAAGTCAAATTAATTTGTGTATTATCATATTATCAACTGTCATGATTAGAGCTTTCTGTACACCAGAACAGTTAAAACTTTAACATCTATTGTTCTGTAAAACTGAAGATAAAATGTAATCAAACAGCATTTCACTAGAAAATTTTATATACCTCAGCAACCTGTCATACTGCCTGTCATCAAATAAATGGACTCTAAAGTGCAGTTATTCTTTTCTAAAATATTAATTCTACTATTGCTCTTTAGAGCCATTTGAATCAAGTCACAGTTCTAGGAGAAAATTCCCCAGGATTCTGAAAGAATGAGTTATTTTCTACAAGCAACTCTGCTTTGAGAGGTAAAGTTGTAGCCCTTTTAAACATTTTTTCTCTTTCAAAGAGAATGAAAAATATGCAGAGATTTCTCTACTGACTCACTAAAGATTAATTGAGAGGGCATAATAAAACTTTGGAACACAGTAACATAAATTTTAATGGTTTACTTACTACTAACTAGCTATAACCTTAGAATTAAGTCATTTAACATGTTGTGCTTTAGTTTCATCTTTAAAACAAAGATTAGAATAGAAATCTCTAAAGTCCTTTCAATTCTCACATGGTATGACTTTGCTTCTGCAGGAATTCTTAACTGATAAACTGAATCTTCCATAAATCAAGAGAACTGATATGAATTAAAATAGCACAACTGAATTAAACCTCCCGTTAGAAAAAACCCCACAAAAAAGATGTTCAAAGCTCAGCTTCCCAAATCTTACTATACCTACTCCCCTCTTCAACCAGACCAATGAATAGTTCATAGAGTTAAAGCCAAGTATCTTAGTTACATAAATTACTTTTACATTATATTATAAATCCATCAAACTATATTAGGTCTATGCTATAGTTTTCCTACAGTCTAATTTACATTTTCATTCTATTTACATACAAGATAGTCAGTATAGTTAAAGAAGGAACTATTTAATGTTCTTTCACTTCTAAACACTAGTATAAGTTAAATAAAATACAAAGAACAGTATATTATCATATTTTACTAAATGTTTAATAAAAGTATGCTAAATACTATTTATGAGCTAGAAAAACAAGACAAAGGTAAAAAAGGAAATCCTGCTGTTAAATGTTGGTGCTCAAATGGATTGAGTTGTATTTTGCCATTACCTAAAGACAGGACGGTGAGAATGTTAACAGAAACCTAAGGTAATACTGAACCATGATGTTCCAGTAGCTCTTATGAAAAATTAGTGTACCATGAAGCAGTATTTTGGTACTAGTACAGTGCAAATTGGTTTTTCTTTGTCTAACTATGGGCAGCAAATGAGGCACTTAACTGTAAAATAGAAAAATAGGATATATTTAAGGAGATATTAAAAATCATTCACAAAAGATAATTAACATTATTTAAAAAGTAAAAATTTCAATTTTTATTTAATATGCATTCAATGTCACACATTTCACTAGGGAAAATCCTTTTGTGATTTATTTTGTATTTTTTTATTTTTTGAGTCAGAGTCTCACTTTGTCACCCAGGCTAGAGTGCAGTGGCACACTGCTTACGGCCACTGCTGCCTCAACCTGCTGGGCTCAAGTGATCTTTCCACCTTAGCCTTCCAAGTAGCTGGAACTACAGGCGTATGCCACCACACCTGGCTGATTTTTTGATTTATTGTAGAGATGAGGTCTTATCATGTTGCCCAGGCTGCTCTTGAGCCTGCGGGCCCAGGCAATCCTCTCTCCTCCACCTCCCAAAGTGCTGGGATTACAGGTGTGAGCCACCGCACCCGGCCATCCTTTTGTTATAAGAGACAGAAAACATTTCTTTTTCAAGAGATTCTAGATTTCTGAGAATGAAATCCAAGTTTTCCCAACCTGAGTGCTACATATTTATAAACTAAGAAAAATACATCTTACCATACTGGAGAAACATTTGTGACTATCAACAAATACTATGTACTATGTGACACAACTTTATTCTTAAGGATCTGAAATGTTTATTTTACACAACTTCAAAGAAGGGAACTTAAGGAGTGTAACAGAATAATGAGTAGATATTTAGCACCCAAATTTAGAGAACACTTGAGTATTGCCATAGTTTTAAATGGCTGTATGTCCATAGATTGGGGGAAATCAAATATGTGTTATCTAATGATATTAGAACAGTCTCAAAGATTAAAATACCAAGCTTCCAAAAATTATCCTTGATTTACAAATGTATCTTCCTACAATATTCAAACACAATCTTATTTCTTCCTGAAGTTGTAAATATATACATATTCTTTTAAACAAGTGAGGTTTATTTTTTCTTGACCAGCATAAGACTATCTTTCAAATGTGGTACTTTTTTTGATTAGATAAACTATAGTTCTTTAGAAAAAGTCATTCATATTCTACCACTAATGTTATTTTAAATACTCTTAACTATGGGGCAGAAGTCAATAGTGAAGTGAATCACCACGAACCTTCTCTTAAAATACATAAGTAAATAAAAGCAGGAACAGAGAAGATGAAATACATTAATTTCTAACAATATATTGGCACATAAATGCTTATCTGTAGGGTAAAAAAGCACTTAATGAAAAGATAAATAAGGCCAGGCATGGGGGCTCTCACCTGTAATCCCAGCACTTTGGGAAGCCTAGGCAAGAGGATTGCTTGAGCCCAGGAGTTCAAGACCAGCCTAGGCAACATAGCAAGACCTGTCTCTAAAAAAATTTAAAACGTGGGTGTGGTGGCACACATCTGTGGTCACAGCCATTCAGAAGGCTGAGGAGAAAGGATTACCTGAGCTCAGGAGGTCAAGGCTGTGGTGAGCCATGATCATGCCACTGTACTCCAGCCTGGCTAGCAGAGTGAGACCCTGACTCAAAAAATAAAATAAAAACAAAATAAAAAGATATAAAAAGACAAATGTTTGCTGTGACATTATTTCAAGTGAATGAAGCCTAGCATTTCCTTTCTACATATCTGAGTGAAATACTCTTGTGTTGCCTAGTAAACTTGATTTTAATAATTGATGGAACACTTCATGTGTTAAAACTGATGCATGACATTAACCAAAGTTGTCCATGAGACAATTTAATTATTCCCACTAAGAATTCCTACAATCTTACCTTTTCTTCCTAAGTTAACTTATAAAAAGGCTTTCCCTTGACTCAGAAAGGAGGAGAAAAAGACTTCAAAAAACATCTTCTTACTCCAAGGAGATGGCAAATCTCAATAGTTCACACTTGTCATATTTTTCATTTATATTCACTTTAACAAACTGCACTCTATGACATAATTAATTTCCTCCGATACAGAAGAACCAAAATTATTTATGTCTCTAAGGTAAATTTTATTTTCTTTAATATATTCTAGTTTATTTTTGAAAGGAAATGAGTACATGAAAGAAACAGGAACACTGTTGATGCAATTCAGGTGTTATGAAATAAAGTGCACATCATTTTCAATATAAGTAATTTGGTACATTGCAGCTAAGTAAAAAACTAGCAAAATCAAAATGAAGACTCAGTTTAATATCTAGAATCTGGAGAATATGAGACGAGAATACAAATTCTATATAAATAGTAACAAATTGGGAGTAGAGAGTACTCCCCTTCAAAAAAAAGGCAACTGAAAATATTTTTAAGAAAAGTTAAGTGGCCTTCTGCTTCCCAAGAGATCAGACACGCTACACGGTAATACCAACATGCAATACCTGAAATGTAGACTCACATTCTGGCTGCTGCCCTTGAACTTCTGCATTTAATTTACAATTCTCTGGTGTCTGGCTGATGTCATCTTGCAAAGTAGGAGATGCACCATGAGTCTCCTCTGCAGAAGCACGGTCAGACAAGACATCTAACTTTTCCGGGGAAAGAGCTATGTGAGGCTCACTATCTCCCATCCCTTCATCAAAATGTGTCCTCTCGTCAGCATCTTCTAGCTGTTGAACTGAAGTTAAATACTGTTCAAGCAGACTATTATCCTGCTCATTATTGGAGCATTCCTTGCTCCATTCACCATGTTCTTCACTATCATCCCCTAAATCTGATCCTTTGCCAAATTTGACTGTGTTAATAGAATTCCCCATTATGGAGCTTTCACTGTCTTCTGTGGAATTTTTTTCAAAATCCAAAGAATCCTGCAAACAGTGAACTTGTTCTGTTAGGGAGGAATGAAAACCAGAGTCTGGAAATTCTGGTAATGTTTTCTCTTGTGGAGCTTCATCAGGAGCAATGAGCCAATCAGAATTTTGATCAGAAGAGGGCTCCTGACTTTGGGCAAATAATGTAGGTTGAGATGACACCAGAGTACTTGACACAGGAGGAACATCAGTATGCCAGGAACATAGACGCTGGTCCACTGTTTGTTGCCAAGCTTGCAGAGACCTTACCTATAAATCAGAGGATAGAGTTTTATTATAAAATAAAAACCTTGTCTGTTCTACAATGGTCCTTTGAGCTTTTTCCCCCAGCAGTCATGAAGTTGGTAAGTGGTAGAACTGGAGCTAGAAACTGTCTGACTCCCCTTATCTTTTCCATAGCATCCTCAGCCTAACCCAGGCTGGCACGAATGGCACGTGTCCTTGGTAACAAAAGGCCCTCCCCAGGAGAGGAAGCAAGGGCCAAAGACATTCTCCTGCTTCTACTGGAAAAACAACTATAAGCACAACAGTACATGTCCAGCTGACTAAGGGGTCAATAATCTACTCAGTATACACTGAGGCCTATTCAATAAGACAGATTAGAGCCTCTTGAAATAAGTAGACCCAGCTGGACATGGTGGCTCACTCCTGTAATCCTAGCACTCTGGGAGGTGGAGGCGGGAGGATTGCCTGAGCCCAGGGGTTCAGGACCAGCCCAGGCAACTTGGTGAGATCTCGTCTCTAGAATAAATCAAAAAATTAGCCAGGCTTGGTGGTGCCCACCTGTGGTTCCAGTTACTGGGAAGGCCGAGGAGGAAAGATCACCAGAGCCCAGCAGGTCGAGGCTGCGGTGGCTGTGAGCATGCCACTGCACTCTAGCCTGAGCAACAGAGAGAGACTCCAACTCAAAAAAAAAAAAAAAAGATACAAATAGATCCTCTGGTCAGGCATAGTGGCTTATGCCTGTAATTCAAGCACTTTGGGAAAGAGGATTGCTTGAGCCAGGGAGCTCAAAACCAGCCTGGACAACAAAGTGAGACCCCACCTCTGTTTTAAAAATAATAGTAAGTAGACCCTCGAAAATAAGTCTCATTTAACAATATATACAACTGTCTAAAATGCCTAAAAATATGCCAAATTCTTGGTAATAGGACCTTTACATTTTTTAAGTATAATTTAACTTTTAAACTTTTACTATAAAAACTGTATATAAGAAAACAATATATAGAATTTTTAGTTTTCCTTTGACCATTCTCCAAGGTAATCACTGATAGCAGTTTGATGTATATCCTTCCAGACTTTTTTCTATGTAGTATTTCCAAGTACACCGGAAAACCAGGCACAGTGGTGCATGCCTATAGTTCCAGCTACTTAGGAGGTTGAGGCAGGAGTTTGAGGTTATAGTGCGATATGATCACATGTGTGAATAGGCACTGTGCTCCAGCCTAGACAGCATAGCAAGATCATCTCTCAAAATCTAGATATACACTATATACACATATATGTATATATACATACAAGTAGTTTTTAAAACCAAGTGGAGGGCTGGGCGCAGTGGCTCAAGCCTGTAATCCCAGCACTTTGGGAGGCCAAGGTGAGAGGATTGGCTAAGCTCAGGGGTTCAAGATCAACCTGGGCAACTTGGTGAGACCTTGTCTCTACAATAAATCAAAAAATTAGCCGGGCATGGTGGTGTGCACCTGTAGTTCCAGCTATTTAGAGGGCTGAGGCGGAAGGATCACCTGAGCTCAGCATGTCAAGGCTGCATGGCCGTGAGCACAACACTGCACTCCAGCCTGGGCAACAGTGAGACTCCAACTCAAAAAAAAAAAAAAAAAAAACCACAAGTGGAACCCTAAGTTCTGTAACTTGCTGTTTTTCACTAACAGTGTTATTCTGGAGATCTTTCCATGTCAGTCCATACTATTACTGTATTCTTTTTAACTCTTCCATAGTATTCTGTAGTTGTTGTTTTTTTTTGTCTTTTTTTGAGTTGGAGCCTCACTCTGTCACCCAGGCTGGAGGGTAGTGGCATACTCCCAGCCACTGCAACCTCATATTGTTAGTCTATATTTTATTTAACTATTTCCCTACTGTTGGTAATAACAAACCTTAAAAACTGTAAAAATCAATAATTATTTTTAAATTTTATAGGTCAAATCCTATTATAACAAGTTCTTTTATAAAATCATTTCCAAGAAATTATCATGAAGAAGTATTTGATGTGATATAATACTAGTAAAACCAATTGCCTAAACTATCCCTAAAGTATGCTGTTACGGGATTCAAATTCTCTCCCACAAGTAGTAATCTGTACTTTTTTGGACATGCATAGTGTATCCATCATATACCACCTTAATTAATTTTCATTCAAATATTACCAAGAGACAGAAATATAGCTAGCTACATAAAACTTCAAATTGGGTTTTTATATATACTAGAAAGTTATAATAACATCCCTCAATTAAGCCACTTTTCTTAGGCTTTATACCATTTTATCTTTCTTGTCAAAATTATGAAAACATTTTTCTTCAGATTAAATAAAGTACAATAAAATTCACTGTCCAGTCGGGTGCAGTAGCTCATGCCTGTAATCCCAGAAGTTTGGGAAGTGGAGGCTTGAAGATTGCCTGAGCCCGGGAGTTTGAGACCAGCCTGGGTTACTTGGAGAGACCTTGTCTCTACAAGAAATAAAAAAAAATTAGCCGGACGTGGTGGTGTACGCCTGTAGTTCCAACTACTTGGAAGGCTGAGGCAGAAGAATTGCCTGAGCCCAGCAAATCAAGGATATGGTGGCCATGAGTGTACCACTGTACTCCAGCCTGGGTGACAGAGTTAGACTCCAACTCAAACAAACAAATAAACAAAAATTCACTGTCCAAATTCAAAGTTAGTGGCAAAGAACACAAACTACACCCTCAACCTTTAAAAAGAATGCTTAACACAACTAATTTATATCTAGTTGAATCTAGAATTTTTCTTTGTTCATATGTTAGGTAAATCAGTAAGAGGGGGTTTACCTGGTTCCAGAGAAATCTGACAGCCTCTTCATGTACAAATTTTTTAATACGTTCTTCGTCTCTTTCTTTTCTTAATCTACAATAATTCAAAATACATCACTGACACACAAGGAAGTTACTTTGACTTGCACTTTCTGTTACAACTAATAAAAACATGCATTATAAGATTCATAATCTAATAATAGTCCTTTCCACTTTTAGAATATCTAAACTGAAACCTTAATTTTGAATTATGACTCAAAGTAGAAGCCCAATGAGGTGTGACTGAAATTCAGACACTAGTTCTACAAAGTAATGCCAGTGATAAAAAACAAAATATTTGGCTGGGCGGGTAGCTCACACCTATAATCCCAGCACTTTGGGAGGCCAAGGGGAGAGGATCGCCTGAGCCCACAGGTTCAAGACCAGCCTGGGCAACTTGGCGAGTCCTCATCTCTACAATAAATCAAAAAATTACCTGGGTGTGGTGGCTCATGGCTGGAGTTCCAGTTATTTGGAAGGCTGAGACAGAAGGACCACCTGAGCCCAGCAAGTCAAGGCTGTGGTGGCCGTGGGCATGCCACTGCACTCAAGCCTGGGCAACAGTGAGACTCTGACCAAAAAAAAAAATTAAAATTAAATAATATAAAATAAAAAATAAAATAAAATATTAAATGGCTCTGTGTCTGGTTTCAATTTCTCAGCCAAATACACCAGGGGAAAAAGGGCAGAAAGGAGTGATTACTCAAAGCCTCCAAAACAATTCGGGATCACACTTGAGTTAAATACTGTTGTCACAGCTTGAAACACCAAGCTCTCCTATGAGACTAGGCAGGACGAATCCATCCGAGTTCACTTCCCTGTTTGCCCCAGTCCCTGGCATACTCCTTGCTAACGGATCTCCCATCTGTCACTGGCCCTTGTTCATTACAGTTTTAGCTCTGGGCTCATTGCTGCTCTTTCCATACTTAGGCCTATCACCAAACCTGAAGTCTCTTTAGTTATCCATTATCACCCAAACCATCACCACCATTCTGTTCCAAACTTCTGACCCAATTATCCACTCTATCTAGCCCTGAGGCCATTCTGCTGTGCTACCTGGGACTCCTGAGTTGTAATCAGCAAACTCTTTTATCTACTCAACTTCTCTCTAAAGTTTTCCTTGACCAAAAGCAGACCTACTTCTGGGAGCACTTAACAGCTTTCCCAAGTGGAAGCTATTTTTTGTCTCTCATTACATCAGGGTTCGAAGATTGTTTCTCACTGCTGTCTTCAGATGATTCCTTACCTCTCTCAACTCCTGCCCAAAATTCTTCTTCGTGTACTGACCTCCCCCATTCTACCCCCATTCATTGAAATCAGCACCAGTCTCCTTCCTCATTCCTGTCACCATTTTTGGAGACCTCAACATTCACATGGGTGCTCTATCTAACAATCCAGCCCCTGTCAGTTACCCATTCTCACCCTAGACCAAAACATTTTGACTATGCCACTTTCAAAAATGGTTCCTGCCATTGCTAGGTCATTGTGGCCATTGTCTTGGTACACTATGGTGTGGCCATGTGCTCTTTGAGCTATGGCCGGGCCATGTTTCCTGGCTTTGGCCCCCTCTCCTACCCTGGGGAAGTAAATCTCCTCTTTTTCTCTAATTTTCTTTCTAAATAAACTTTATTTTCTAATCTTAAAAAAAAATGGTTCCAAGCACGTAACACAACAATCACCTTCTGATCTTCCCAATCCACCTGCTGTTACACCCCACTGCAACAATCCAGACCTCCAATTCAATGATCCTTCCCTCCTGCCTTCACTGCCCCTTTACCTCTTTTAAATTCTAAGCTCCATCTTGTATTACCTCCTCCCAAATATCTTCAGCTCCCTTGCCCTTCGCTCTCTCTACTATATCCTCCTGCGAAAAAATAATTCCTGACTGAACTAAATTAACCACACATGAATCAGAGCAGAACCACTCAGAGTTGCTGATGAAAATCATACCACCCGATCTATTGTTCTGCACATTGACATTTGTCCTCATACTGTCCGGCCGTCCTCCTCCATTCTCCTTCCAAGTTCGTTTTTAAGACGACTACCTCACACCTCACACTTCTCTCCTTACTCCGCCTTCACCCTCTCCTCATTTCTAAGTGCTTACCATATCTTAAATAATACTGAAAAAAAAGAAGCATGCGACAGGACTTCCCCATCCTCCCACCAGCAAACCTGCTTCCCTGTTCCTTCTCCTCCCTCAGGCCTTCTCCTTTACTTGTGCACTAGATCTCTTCTTCTCTTACCCTCTCAAGAACTTCAGTCCTACATTTCTCCCTTCTTTTCTTTGCACCCTCAGTTTTTCCCTTCTTATTGAATCATTCCCATCAACACATGAATACATCTATCAGGAGAATCTTTAAAGGAGAATCTTCCTTACCTCTAGCAGCCACTTCTCAGAACAAGACTTGGCTACACCCATCCTTTAAACTCTTTACTCCCCTGATTCACTATTAACCCATTCCAAACTGGCTTTCAACTCTCCCCGCCAAACCTCTGAGGCTGCTCTTAGACCACTGTGCAGAAAGGTCACTCAGCAGGACTGGGATGCTCAAATTGCACATTCCAAAGATAGAACTGGCCCTTGGTTCTCAGGAAATAACCTCAGAGCCCTTTGGAATATCCTGTTGAAAAAGAGTGTCTTTATACACCTGGGGTCCTAGTCTACACCAGACAGTTCAGGCAATCAATGTGATTTCTAGTGAATACCTGTTTTATTCACTTGGAGATGTAGGCCATGATGTCTCAGTTTGACTTCTAGGGTCTCTGAGGTCTGAGTAGTTAAGATCCATCACGTGGGCATAAAATGCCTACTGACTGACCCCCAACAAAAACCCTGGGCCACAAGGCTCAGGTGAGCTTCCCCAGCTGGCAATGCTGCCTATATGTTGTCATATATCTTTGCTGAGAGAAGTAAGCCCTGCCTGTCCAACTCCACTGGTAGAGGACAACTAGAAGCTTGCACCTGCTCTCTCCTGAACTCTGCCGTATGCACCTGTTATCTTTGCTGATTTTAATTTGTATCCTTTTAAATCTGTATCCATTCTGTTTATAGCTATAAACAGAAAAATTTTCTTGAGTTCTGTGAGTCCTTTTAGCAAATCATCAAACCTGAAGATCATCTGGGCAATCTCCAAAACAGTTGCCAGTAACCTTCAGCTGCTAAATCTAATGTACAGTTCTCTCCTCCCTTCATGACACCTCTCATCTCTCCTGAAACACTTCCCACTTTCCCCTGTTGGAAGTGAAATTCTCCTAGTTTTCCTACCACCTTGGCTGTCCCTCTGAGTCTTGTCTGCTGAGTCCTCCTCTTCTGATATTAGTAAACATCACTAGTTACAATACTAATGAAATCCTAATTTTCCTGGGTTGGCAGTCAGTGAGCCATGGAATTAAGGAAAAATTCCTACCATAGTCCCAGAATTTTAGCCTCTTTTTGAATTCTTATGTCACCTACTGAGTTTTATGTAGATTTCCTCATTGTCTCATCTTTATACTTACTTAGCTTCTCTACATTTTATGTATCTTTCTATGTTTAGAATTGGAGATGCCTATAAAGCTCATGTTCATTCAATGTTTCTTACTGCACTGCATCTATGTACCAATTGCTTTGCTACAGATGGAAACACTTATGACAGTCTCTGCTCTGCAGAAGCTTTCAGTATATCACAGGAAGTAAACAAACCAACAGTGCCTACAGCTATATGGTGTGAAAAGGATTATGATCACAGCAGCACAGTGTTCTGAATTAACTCTAAGAATCAGACACCCCCAAACCAACGACACAGCACCTCAACAGGACTTTTAACCCACCTCCTTATTTCCTCCGTTAAGCAGACAATGTGCTCCTGCATTCTGCGTAGGCGGATTTCATAACGCACATCTTTGGCTTGAGGGTTGTAATTCCTGGCATAAAAGCCCCGCCAACAGGCCTGAAGCTTGGTGGCTGCTTCATTCAATTTCTGGAGGGCATCTTTATCTTCTCCCAAAGCCACAGATCTCTGGGTTAAAATTCTGCAAGGAAGTTTCTCTGAAGCTGTTTGAGATATGGTTTCTTTATTATCTGTCTGTGCACAGGAAACATTGTGTCCAGCTGACTCCGGGAAAGATGTAAGACTGTGGTTATCATCCGTCAGGATAGCACTGATTATTGTTGGTACAGGACAGGGTAATCGCCCAGTTTTCTCATTTACCTCTGTACTGATCTCACTTTTCATCATCTGAACAGAATTCTCATTTGCAGCCCATAAAGCCTTTTCCTCTTCCTTATCCAAAACCTGATTTTCCAGCCCTTTCACAGATTCATCTGCAATACCATCATCTTCTAGGCCCAAGTTAATGCTCTGAAGCGTCAGCTCAACTGTAGGTGATACTGGTGACAATCCTGACGCAACTGGCATAAAAGTAGACTCTGAAGAGAGAAGACTACAATTTAACTTGTCCTCATCTGTCTGTATGTCTTCCAGATGCAGGTCATTTCGAGAATATCTTGTGGCGTGTACAGAGGCTGGAAAATTATTCTTAACAGCATATAACTGATCATCATCACTGCTTATCCCAACCCAAGAATTGACTTGGATGACAGGTTCTAGAAGAATCGACAGAGTATCATTTAAACCACTAAATATTTAAAGAGTTTTTTCAGTTGTATCCTTTTAATGAAATCTAATTCCTGAAATATAGTAAAATACAATCAAATGCCTTCAGTGATTTCCTCCAATAAACCTAAAACATCAAACCATTTTTTAAAAAATGAATTATTATGATAATCATAAAAATAAGCAAAGCATCAGGCCACACAAAAGATAGCTGTCTTTATAATTTTTAAAAAATTAGAAACAGACAGTTATAATATATATACATATAAACGGTACATGTCTATACATATCTATAAAGTATAAGATCTAAATGTTCACTGAAGTTAACAGACTAATAGAAAATTATGAAAATACATATTTTTTTTCTGCCTTATGATACCCAACAAATCAAGCAACTTGGAAAAAGGAATCAGAGATAAATTCTTACCACTTTCCTGGACAATCTGGCAATCCTGAACTGGGCTTGAATGCTCAGGCATAAGGGATGCCCTTGTTTCAACAGGAGCAAGAGAAGACAACTCTTCGTTTTCGCTTTGGTTCATCAGTTGTCTCTGGTGAAACCTAAAAATCAGTAACATCTGATGTGACTGAACACAAAACAAAAAAAAAATTTCTACTCCCTAGGTAACAATGTCAAAAAGGTAGAAGTTTACAAGTTTTCAAAGTGGGTATCTTTAATCCCTGTCAAAGTATAGTCTCATTTGAAAGCATTGGATAAAAAAGATTAAGAAATTTATTTGTAAATTGCAGACAAACAACCTCATATATGCACATATACACATGCACACATTTCATTTATTTATTTATTTACTTACTTACTTACTTATTTAGAGTCGGAGTCTCACTCTGTTGCCCAGGCTGGAGTGCAGTGGCAGACTCACAGCCACAGCAGCCTCGGCCTGCTGGGCTCAGGCGATCCTTCCGCCTTAGCCTTCCAAGAAGCTGGAACTACAGCCACCATGCCCGGCTAGTTTTTTGATTTATTATAGAAATGAGGTCTCACCAAGTTGCTCAGGCTGGTCTCGAACCCATGAGCTCAGGCAATCTTCACACCTCGGCCTCCCAAAGTGCTGGGAATATAGGTGTGAGTCATCGCTCCCAGTAATGCACAAATATTTATAGGTAGGCTCTCTGCTAAGGTAATGACTAGATGCTTCTAGCTACACCTCTTAATGTTCCTAAAAACTCACATGAAACACCTACATTAAAGAACAAATACATTTTTTATTTATTTTTATTTTGTTCTGTTTTTGAGTCGGGGTCTCACTCTGTCACCCAGGCTGAAGTTCGATGGCACAATCATGGCTCACATCAGCCTCAACTTTCCGGACTCAGGTGATCCTTCCACCTCAGCCTCTTGAGTAGCTGGGACTACAGACGCACACTACCATACCAGGCTAGTTTAAAAAAGACATTTTAAAAGCCCCATTCCTGCCAGGCACAGTGGCTCACACCTATAATCCCAGCACTTTGGGAGGCTGAAGTGAGAGGACTGCCTGAGCCCGCAGGTTCAAGACCAGCCTGAGCAAATTGGTGAGACCTCATCTCTACAATAAATCAAAAAATTAGCCAGGCATGGTGGTGTGTGCCTGTAGTTCCAGCTACTTGGAAGGCTGAGGTGGAAGAATCACCTGAGCCCAGCAGGTCGAGGCTGCAGTGGCCAGGAGCGTGCCACTGCCCCCCAGCATGGGTGACAAAATGAGACTCCAACTCAAAAAAAAAAAAAAATCCCATTCCCCCATACCATATTGTTTGGCAGTCTCCACCTAAGTAGCAATTAGCAATACAGTTTCTGTGGAGCAAGCTAGGCTGCACTGTGTGGTCCAACTTCCCTTCAGGAACTGCTGCAGAGACAAGGAGTTTAGGCGCCCAGAAATGTGGGTCACAGCACTTGCCTCAGGCCCACCGTCATCATAGGAAAGACTGGGGAGTATTTTCACTTATGAATTCATTAGCTGCAACAAAGAAACAGACTTACCTCTGTTTGCTCAGAATCTTCTCTAGTTTGGCATCCTCTTCAGTTTGAAGACCCAGTGTAGAAGTGAGAGGACACACTGTAGCCAGATACTGGACAAGCTGGATGTGCTGGCCAGGCCGATATGCTCTCCCCTTGCCTTGACTATAGAGCCATTCAGCTTTCAGACTAGAATTGACGGAAGTGAGGAAAAGGAGATGACACCATGGCAGAGAAGATACACTGTCAAGCAAAAATGGTCCTTCTTCTGAATTTACCTTTATAGCACCACTGGATTTTTTTTTTTTTTTTTTTTAGTTGAGGTTTCAGCTTTTCACCTAGACTGGAGTGCAGTGGCACTGTCACAGCTCAATGCAGTCTCCAATTCCCAGGCTCAAATGATCCTCCCACCTCTGCCTCCCGAGTGGCTGGGACTATAGGTGTACGTCACCACACCCAGTTAAATTTTTTTTTATTTTTCTGTAAAGTTGAGGTTTCACTATGTTGCCCTGGCCAGTCTAGAACTCCTGGGCTCAAGCGATCCTCCCACCTTGGCCTCCTATAGTGCTGGGATGACAGGTGTTAGCCACTGAGCCCAGACTTGGATATTTTTTGTAATAAAATTCACTCAAGCCAGGCGTGGTGGCTCATGCCTGTAATCTGAGCACTTTGGGAGGTGGAGGTAAGAGAACTGTCTGAGCCTCTGGGCTCAAGACCAGCCTGAACAACTTGGCAAGACCTCACCTCTACAATAAATCAAAAACTTAGCTGGGCATGGTGGCGCACACCTGTAGTCCCAGCTACTCAGGAAGTTGAGGCAGAAGAATCGCCTGAGCCCAGCAGGTCAAGGCTGTGGTGGCCATGAGCATGCTACTGCACCCCAGCCTGGGCAGCAGAGTGAAACTCTGACTCAAAAATCAACAAAAAAATTTCACTCAAGTTTTTAAGAATCTATCATTCTGACTCATCTCCCTTATCTAATAATGTCTTAAACCCATTTTCTTGTTTAGAGGCACTTCCGTAGAGCTGCACTGATAATACCAAATATTCTTAAATTTTTTTCTTTTTTTTTTTTTCCCCTGAATCAGAGGCTCACTCTGTCACCCAAGCTGCAGTGCAATGGTTGTTGCCTAGGCAGGTATCAAACTCCTGGGCTCAAGCAATTCTTAGGCCTCAGCCTCCGAAAGTGCTGGGATTACAGGTGTGGGCCACCATGCCAGCCCTTACATTTTTTTCAAAGAAGTAATGAGTAGTCTCTCCATTCACTCAAACTGCAGTGCCTAAGCACATCAATTACATTCAGCTCCATTAGTTTTGAATGACAGTTAAAAAAAAAAAAAAAGCTGGCCAGGCATGATGATGCATGACCAATTCTAGCTACTCGGGAGGCTGAGGCAAGAACAAGAGGATCATTTGAAGTTAGGAGTTCGAGGATATAATGCATTATGATCATACTTATTAATAATCGATGTACTCCTGCCTGGGGAACATAGCAAGATCCTCATCTTCAAAACAAACAAAAGAAAACAGACCACAAAAAGTTAACTGGTCACAATTAGAGGATGCTAATAAACCAAGATCTCATTTTTTTAAAATGGTAAGTAGCCAGGCTCGGTTGCTCATGCCTGTAATCCCAGCACATTGGTAGCCAGAGGCAAGAGGATTAACTGAGCCCAGGGGTTCGAGACCAGCCTGGGCAACTTGGCAAGACCTCATCTCTACAATAAATCAAAAAATTAGCTGGGCATAGTGGTGGCGAGTGTCTATAGTTCCAGCTATTTGGAAGGCTGAGCCCAAGTAGGTCGAGGCTGCAGTGGCCACAAATGTGCCACTGCACTCCAGCGTGGGTGACAGAGTGAGACTCTGACTCAAAAAAAAAAAGTAAGTCTGAATCTAAAGGCCAGGCATAGTGGCTCACGCCTATAATCCTAGCACTTTAGGAAGCTGAGGTGGAAGGATTGCTTGAGCTATGGAGTTCAACATCAGTGTAGGAAACATAGCAAAATTTCATCTCTATTAAAAAAAAAAAAAAACTCAAAAAATTAGCTAGGCATGGTGGCTCATGCCCATAATCCTAGCATTTTGGGAGACTGAGACAGGAGAATCACTTGAGCCTAGGAATTTGAGACCAGCCTGGGCAACATAGCAAGATCCCATCTCTACAAAAAAAATAAAATAAAATAAAATAAAATAAAATAAAATTTAAAGTTAGCAAAGTATGATGGCACATACCTATAGTCCCAGCTACTCAGAAGGTTGGCAGAAGGATCACCTCAGCCCAGGAGCTTGAGGCTGAGGTAAGCCATGATTGTTCTACTGCACTCTATTCTAGGTGACAAAGTGAGATGTTGACACATACACACACACACACACACACACACACCCCTCAAATCTGAAACTGATCAAACCTCCATATCTAATTTACAGGAAATTCAGAAGAGAGAGGAACATGCCAAAGGGATACAGGGATGTAATCAGCAAAATAAGCAGATAATGGGAAACATAGGACCAATAATCTGATTTCTTCAACAACTATCTAAAAATATAACAAAAACAAAACAAGAGAAAAGAAAGCAAATAAAATAAAAGAGAGGGAAAACCAACAGATTTAAAGATTTAGGCTGGGCGCAGTGGCTCACACCTATAATCCCAGTACTTTGGGAGGCCGAGGTGAGAGGAATGCCTGAGCCCATGGGTTCAAGACCAGCCTGGGCAACTTGGCGAGACCTCATCTCTACAAAAATCAAAAAATTAGCCAGGCATGATGGTACATGCCTGTAGTTCCAACTACTTGGAAGGCTGAGGTGGAAGGATCACCTGATCCCAGCAGATTGAGACTACAGTGGCCAGGAACGTGCCACTGCCCTCCAGCCTGGGTGACAGAGTAAGATTCCAACTCAGAAAAATAAAATAAAAAAATAAAGATTTAAGAGAGTCATCTTGGACATCCAGACCAGTCCAGCCCCATGTGTGATCTGATGTAAGCCCACGAGACCCCAAGTGAGAAACATTCAGTCAGCACAGCCAACCTATGGAGGATATAATAATAATAAATTGATGTTTTAAGATACTAAAAAGAGTGAGAAAAAAATTTAAGAGATATATCAACCAATTGCAATATGTGGCCTTATTTGAATCCTGTTTCCCCCCTCCAAAATTTAGAGATTGGAAATGTAAGTACTGAATATCTGATGTTATTAAGGAATTACTGTTAATTTTTCTGAAATATGATTATAGCATTGTGGTTGTTTCTTTAAGAGTTCTTCTCTTAGCCAGGTGCTGTGGCGCACACCTGTAATCTCAGCACTTGGGGAGGCAGAGGCAAGAGAACTACCTGAGCCCAAGGGTTGGAGACCAGCCTGGAAAACATGGCGAGACCTTGTCTCTACAGTAAATCAAAAAATCAGCCAGGTGAGGTGGCACGTGCCTGTAGTCCCAGTCACTTGGAAGGCTGAGGTGGAAGGACTGACTGAGTCCAGCAGGCTGAGGTTGAGACTGCGGTGGCAGTGAGTGTGCCATTGCACTTCAGCCTGGGCGACAGAGTAAGACTCCAACTTAAAAAGAAAAAAAGAAGCCGGGCTCGGTGGCTCAGCCTGTAATCCCTCGCTTGGGGAGGCTGAGGTGAGTGGATTGCCTGGGCCCGCAGGTTTGAGACCTGCCTGGGCAACTTGGCAAGACCTCATCTCTACAATAAATAAAAAATTAGCTGGGTGTGGTAGCGCGCGCCTGTAGTTCCAGCTACTTGGAAGGCTGAGGCGGAAGGATCTCCTGAGCCCAGCAGGTCGAGGCTGCGGTGACCGGGAGCGGCCACTGCACTCCAGTCTGGGCAACAGAGTGAGACTCCAACTCAAAAAAAAAAAAAAAAAAAAAGAGTTCCTCTCTTTTAGAGAGATATACTGCAACAGTCACAGATGAAATTATATGTAATCAGAGATTGGCCTCAAAATAATACAGAAGAAGGTAAAGTGACCAAAAATATAAATGAAGCAAGGTTAGCTGTAAGTTCAAAACTGTTGAAATTGGGTGATGGAGTCCTATGAAGTCATTAGACTATTCTGTTTACCTTTGCATATGTTTGAATTTTTTAAACTGACATGCCTTTGGCCTAATTTTAAATCTGCCCCTCAACATGACGTTGAGGTTGAAACATCTTGGTATATTTTTTCTGTTTTTATACCATTAACTCAGCATTGCAAATAGTTTGAAAACAATTCCAATCCACAACCATTTTCTTGGACCTTCATATCCACATCATGTATATTATAAAGCCCAAGGCTGTCAAGTCACCCAAGGTTGAATTATGTCCTGAAAAGAAACTGTCCCTTTGGTACCTATTCAAATCATGCAAGAGTCATAGAGCAATAAAGCATAATGAATTTAGTTTTTTATGATTTGTCAGTGTCACAAAAAAGGAAAAACTGGTTTCTAATAATGAGAGATGAGATGCATTAAGTTGATTACTTGAAAAAATTCCAATATTATAGTCTAACAAAATGTTTTTATTTATTTAATAAAAGAAATTAGAGGCCGGGCGCAGTAGCTCACACCTATAATCCCAGCATATTTGGGAGGCCGAGGTAAGAGGATTGCCTGAGCCCTCTAGTTCGAGACCAGCCTGAGCAACTTGGTGAGATCTCATCTCTACAATAAACCAATAAAATTAGCTGGGCATGGTGGCGTGTGCCTGTAGTTCCAGCTACTTGGAAGGCTGAGGCTGAAGGATCGCCTGAGCCCAGCAGGTTGAGGCTGCAGTGGCTGGAAGCATGTCAGTGCCCTCCAGACTGGGTGACAGAGTGAGACTACAACTCAAAAAAAAAAAAAGTGGGATGAAACAAGCCTGGCAAAATGTTGATAACTGTTGAAGCTGCATGTAGTTCTTTATGTTGTCCTCTCTTAACTTTCTGAATACGTTAAATGTTCTTTAAAAATAGGAATACAGCGGGCTCGGTGGCTCAGCCTGTAATCCCGCGCCTTTGGGAGGCTGAGGTGAGTGGATTGCCTGAACCCGTGGGTTTGAGACCCGCCTGGGCAGGCAAGACCTCATCTCTACAATAAAATCAAAAAATTAGCCGGGCGTGGTAAAGCGCGCCTGTAATTCCAGCTACTCGGAAGGCTGAGGCGGAAGGATTGCCAGAGCCCAGCAGGTCCAGCCTGTGGTGGCCGGCAGCGGCCACTGCACTCCAGTCTGGGTGACAGAGTGAGACTCCAACTCAAAAAAAAAAAAAAAAAAAAAAAATATATATATATATATATATATTGTTTTAAAGCTATATCGGGGCAACCCCTTCAGATCCCCTCCCACTGTGGGAGCTTTTCTGTCCTCTCAATAAATCCTGCTTTCAGAAAAAATATATATATAAATAAAAATTTTTAAAAACTGTATCAGAATTATGTAATACTTTACAATTTTTAAAAATATGCCAGCCGGGCTCAGTGGCTCAGCCTGTAATCCCGTGCCTTTGGGAGGCTGAGGTGAGTGGATTGCCTGAGCCCGCGGGTTCGAGACCCGCCTGGGCAGCGAGACCTCATCTCTACAATAAATCAAAAAACTAGCCGGGCGTGGTAGCGCGCCTGTAATTCCGGCTTCTCGGAAGGCTGAGGCGGAAGGATCGCCGGAGCCCAACAGGTCAAGGCTGCGGTGGCTGGGAGCGGCCACTGCACTCCAGTCTGGGCGACAGAGTGAGACCCCAACTCAAAAAAAAAAAAAAAATTTGCCTGCAAAAGGGCAGCTAAGGAGGAATTCTCCCACTTCTTCCTCCCCCAGAGAGAGGGGCTATCCCAGTTGGGAGCCCACTTTTCCTGACCTCCTAAAGTCTCTGAAACTAAAGGTTTGTAAAACATGACAGAGGAAGTTCAAAGAAAATTCAAATTCACCTTAAAGTCACTTGCTTTAAACCCATTTACGCAGTATAGAAACATAGGCTTTGCACTGTTATATACCCATTCAACAAATGTTTTCAGTTTTTTTAATACTCTCATTTCAACAAACTCTTCAACCCCTAATCTAGTCTTACATTATAATAATTATCATTTATCAAGCACTTACTATATGACCAGTACTATGCTGTATACATTATCCTTAGTCCTAACACCCTCGAAAGCTAGTAGTACTACTATTCACATTTTTTAAATGAGGACATTTAGGCTTAGAAAGGTGCTAAGGTACTTGCCAAGACCACACAGATAACACATGGCAGGGAAAAACGTGAAGCCTTCCCTTGTATCTCCAGACAGGTCTCATCTCTCTTCCCAGGTCTCTCTTTACACCAAATCTTTATCTCTGTCCATCTCATCCTGCTGCCTCTCAGATAAGAAAATACTGCCAGTCCTACTTCCAGAGAAAAATCCAGCAACCATAGAGATTATTCAAGTAAACCCAGATCTCAGCTTTAGAAATAGCCACAGTTTGAAACAAAATAAATTTTCTTCTCACAAGCAACACAGACTGCAGGAAAGAAGAAAAGGGACCCTTTTTTGTAGGCAAACTATGACATATGTCCCTCACCCCGCTCCAGCACCACCACTGTCTGGTTCGTGGTTGCCAGTCCTCACTGCCCTCCCGCTCTACTCAGCAACTACACAAAACAGCAGGGAAGCAGAAAAAAGTCATCCTGCCATGCAGAAACTCCTCAAGTACCACCAGTCTCTAGTAGAGAAAGACTAAAAGGGTGAGGAAAAATGTATGTGTTGAGTCCATGATGCATGTGTGTTTGTTCTGAGAGGAGAAAGCGAAATGAGACACAGAGAGAATAAAGTCCTCTGGACCCTCTCTATCCTCTCTAACTCCACCCCCTACTGTCTACATCCTAGTTCCTTACCTCCCCTAAAGCTCTAATTCCACTGATCATGTGCCAGTGTCCAGAAAGCCCCACTCTGCAGGGGTCCCAGCTCCAAGTCCCAGAAACTATCAGTGATCTAGACAAGGGGGAATTCTCCCTTCTGTTGCTTCACAGATATGAGGAGAAGACCAATCACCATGTCTGCCTCCCATTCCAAATTAGAACTGTGTGCACTTTCCCAGAATTATCATTATGAAGGGTAACTGGACAATTCTAAGATATTATTAATGCTGCCCTTATACATATGCTAGATTACAAGGTTTTGCCGGATTGATCTGAGATCCTACAAAGAATTTCTAACATGTTTTCTGCATAACAAGCGCCAAAGTGATAAACAAAAGAACTTTTACAGCTTAAATTGTTTATGTTAAGTACTAAGTTAGACTCACTAGCCCCAGCCTCTGGGGCTGACATTTCTTATTCATTCATTCATTCATTCATTCATTCATTCATTTTGAGTTGGAGTCTCACTCCATCACCCAGGCTGGAGTGCAGTGGCACACTCATGGCCACCTCAGGGTCGACCTGCCGGACTCCAGCAATCCTTCTACCTCAGCCTTCCAAGAAGCCAGAACTACAGGCGCGTGCTACCACGCCTGGCTAATTTTTGATTTATTGTAAAGTTGAGGTCTCGCCAAGTTGCCCGGGCTGGTCTTGAACCCACGGGCTCAGGCAAGTCACTCCCCTCGGCCTCCTAAAGTGCTGGGATTACAGGCTGAGCCACAGAGCCCGGCCCTCATGTTCTTTTTTAGAAAGGTAAGAAAATTCTAAGTGAACAGCACATAGTCTCTTACATTACTACATCAATGCTCTTAATTTCCAAATGCACATTTTAAGAAATAGTCTATTTATTAATCTGTAGTAAACTAGAAATGGTCTTCTCAATCACATTTGTGGTGTTAAAGTCATATTCACCTTTCCTTCTGAGAAATCACATATCCATCTAGGACTCTGAGATTTAAGCACCAGCTGACAATGAATGGCCGATAGTCAAACCCTGGAATGGAAGGTGTTGCCATCACACAAGGATTGTTCATGATCGACAACTGTTCCAGTTCAGTTAAGGATGCCAAAAAAGAGATCTGGAACAAAACACACCATTGTTGAGTAAAAGGCACTATTCAGTGTCAAGCACAGGGCTTCCGCCGATGACATATCTCTGGCAGCATTTGAGAATTTAACAATTTCCCTCTTGTTCTGAAAAGCAGCAAGTATCTTCTGTTATCCACTGACTTCCAAAATTCCAACAATATGGCCATCTGTCCCTGCTGCACAAAATCCCTTAGAAAGTATCAGTATTGAGAACTCCAGAGAGAACCTATTTTGAGAGAACCCTATTTTGAAAACATCTCAGCAGTCAAGGGAAGATGGACAGGGTACCTTATTAACCCCTGTAATGTGGATGGCCTCTACCACCAATCACCTCCCAGTGAAAGACAACTGCAGCATTACAAATGAAATTAAGCCATCATGACCCAATGGCATTTTAAAAAATGAGAAAATAATGATCATCTAGAGTCAAGTGTTTCATCTGAATAGCAGTTTCTTCCAAGATGCTCACTGTCTAAAAGTGAGCTTACAACCCTCTCCTGTGTCTCTCCTGAACTTTCCAGCTTCCTGGATCCCATAGAATACTCTTAAATTTTACCTCATTTAAATCTCGAATTTCATTTTCTGCCAAAGAAAGTATAGCAAGACTTCTGGGTAGATAAGCAGGTGCCATTCTAAGAGAGGTGATGATGTTTCCATGTAAAAGCAGGGTCTTGAAAGTAAAAAACAGTATGAATTACAAATGAAAAAATTACAAATAAATTGGCCTATTGCAACAAAACCAAAATGATGTGTATGAGAATAAAGGGTTCTATCTTATTATACTTCTCATCACACACAAATGAAAGATTGTTAATGCTAGAAGGTCCCAGGTAGTCTTCTGGTCCAACTTTCTCTTTTCATGCAAACATCCTAAGCTCAAGAAAGTCTAAAGATATGTCAAAGAACACATGCTTGAAACAGCAAGTAGGCAACTTGGCAAACTGTGAGAGTTAAGTTACTAGACATTGAGCAATTTCTAACACTTGTTCACCTCCTTTTAAAATATCAAAATAGAGGGAGAGAAGACAGCAGGGGGGCAGGTCATTAAAATAACCATGTATAAAGCAAATTTCCCAAAAGATAGAGAAAGAAAACCCACAACCCAAAATTTGCAACTGTACTCTCTGGGTAACTAAAAGCTAGAGGAAAGCTGAATGTGCTACTTGTAGATGAAGCTCACTCATGTTAAGTCAGCAACAATCAAGAATAAACCCAAGACTCTGAACACTCAGGATTCTGATCAGATAATCATGCCTCCATTCCAGAAAAAAACAAAATAAAACATTCAATCATCTTTGGTTCATTTGAATTCTCTTAGCATCAATCAGGACAACATCTGGCTCTACCAAATTGTTTAGAATAATTGTTGCTAAAAATAATTTCTGCTAAATATCTGAGGGAAACTGAGCTAAAATACTACTTGTAGAACGTAATGGGTTCATCTGACACTAAAAATATCCAATGAAACAAAAATATTTTTGTAAGTCCTACACATGTTTTTTAAAACTGTGATTCCAATTGTTACTAATTTGATTGCATGATACATGTCCCTCCATAAATAGTACAGTATGTTGTATGTTTATTTTTTAAAGTAAAATTAATTTTGATAATTAATACCTATTATTAAAAAAATAGCAATCCTGGGTGTCAAAAAGCAGACAAGTTCAGAAAAGATTAATCTCAACCTCACCAAATGCTGTGTACTATATAACTAAAGCTACTAATACTAGTTGGTTGGGCATGAAAGGAATTTCATCATGTTCAGAAAATGATAAAATCAATTATAGAAACTAACAAAAGTTTCATATTTAACTTCTTGTACTCCAACAGAATTCTTGTAATGAAAATAATCTATGCATATATAGAAGGTTGATTTTAGGTCAATCAGAGTACTTTCTCTTGGTATTTCAGTATAAAATTTCAGAAATGACAAGAAAACATGCTTACCTTCAGGGATACCAATTTAGATAGATCACCTATCTGCGATATGCTATTGTCTGATAAATCGAGGTGCTGTAGAGCTATGCAGCTATTGATTTGTTCCATGGCCTATCACAAGAGAAGTATCATATTATTTAATGCACACAAAATCAAAAAAAAGAAACTCTTCCCTAGCTTCTTGTAGCTGAAAAAGTCTCTTACCGCCTCTCATTATTGGAAACAGAGCAGCAGAGCTTAACAAGAGAAAAGGAAGGCAGTACTAACAGAATTTAGTAAATTGTCATATTGCAAGCTTCCACCTTCATTATGGCTCAATGAATAGAGGCCTACATATGATTCATACCATCCCAAATATTAACAACTTGAAGAAACCTTAGTGATAACATATGACAACTGGTATAGAACAGAGTTGACAAGTTTAGAGTGAAGCCAAATAGCCTAGACTTAAATCCTGGCCCTGCAACTTCCTTCCTGTGTGACCTTGGGCAAATGAATTAATCTCTCAAGGCTTTGGTTTCCTCATCTATATAATGGCCATAATATCTACACCTAGGCTGGGCACAGTGGCTCACACCTATAATCCCAGCACTTTGGGAGGCCGAGGTGAGAGGATTACCCGAGCCTGCAGGGTCGAGATCAGCCTGGGCAACTTGGTGAGACCTCATCTCTACAATAAACAAAAAATGACCGGGCATGGTAGTAGTTCCAGCTACTTGGAGGGCTGAGGCAGAAGGGACACCTGAGCCCAGCCACTCGAGGCTGCGGTGGCTGGGAGCTTGCCACTGCCCTCCAGCATGACTGACAGAATGAGACTCCAACTTAAAAAAAAAAAATACTATACCTACCTCATAAGCTGCCATGAGATTGGATAAGTCAATACAGATAAATGCTTAGAATAGTACCAAGCATAAAGTAATTACCCAATAAAAAGCAGCTATAACATCACTTAATCGGCTGGGCACAATGGATGCAGAGACAGGAGAATCGCTTGAGCCCAGGAATTCAAGACGAGCTAGGCAACATAGCGAGACCTTGCCTCTACAAAAAAAAATCAAAAAATTTTCCAGGTGTGGTGGCTCACACCTGTAGTCCCAGCAACTTGGAAAGCTGAGGTGAAAGGATCACCTGAACCTAGGAGCCCAGGAAGTCAAGGCTGTGGTGAGCCTGTGATTGTGCCACTGCATTCCAGTATGGGTAACAGAGTAAGACCCCAACTCAAAAAACATATACCATTTAATCTAGTTCCCTCACCTGGCATATAAAAAATAAGACACATTTAACAACTAGTGGCATGAAAATAAAATTAAATTAAACATTAAAAAGTAGGCAGAACCTAACTCCAGTCAGAATGGCAATTATCAACAACTCAAAAAATAACAGCTGCTGGAGAGGGTGTGGCGAAAAGGGAACACTTCTACACTGTTGGTGGGAGTGTAAACTAGTGCAACCTCTGTGGAAAGCAGTGTGGCGATTCCTAAAAGCTCTAAATATCAAGCTCCCATATGACCCCGCAATCCCCCTACTGGGAATATACCCTGAAGAACTCAAATCACTCTATAAAAAAGATATCTGCACACGTATGTTTATCACAGCGTTGTTCACAATAGCAAGAACCTGGAAACAACCATGCTGCCCATCAAAAGAGGACTGGATTAAAAAAATGTGGTACATATACACGATGGAATACTATGTGGCCATAAAAAAGAACAAAATCATGAATTTCACAGCTACCTAGAGTCTATAATACTGAGTGACCTCTCACAGAAACAAAGATCCGAATATCACATGTTCTCACTCATATAATGGACCTTGAACATCCAATGTAATACTATAAGAAAATGACTGACGGTACTGGGAAACTATGGGGGGGGGGAGGGAAATGGGAATAACAGTAGCAAATATCTGTCTGGGGATGGGGAAACACCTCTTATCAACAGGGTACCTGAATGAAACGTAACTGTACACCTAACCCTTAACTGTACCCCACAAAACCATAATAAAAAATATTGATTATGAAAAAAAAATTAGGCAGAGATATTTATTAACTTACCCCAAATTATATAGTTATCAAGCAGTGAAAATAGGACTATTCAGATCTCCTGACTTTTGAAACTGTATATTCTCCCTTATATCATTTACACATTTACTTAAAGCTTAATTCAGGATGATATAGTCTTCCTCCGAACTATTCTATGGTTTCATATACTTTTTTCTAAGTATAATATAGAGTCTTTATTCAAATTTTTTAAAATATTAAACTAAGCCAGGCACGGTAGCTTACGCCTATAATCCCAGCACTTTGAGACGCCAAGGTGAGAAGACTGCCTGAGTCCACAGGTTTGAGAGCAGCCTGAACAACTTGGCAAGCCCTCACCTATATAATAAATCAAAAATTAGCCAGAGCCAGGCTCAGTGGCTCAGCCTGTAATCCCACGCCTTGGGAGGCTGAGGTGAGTGGATTGCCTGAGCCCATGGTTTCGAGACCCACCTGGGCAACTTGGCGAGACCTCATCTCTACAATAAATCAAAAATGAGCCGGGTGTGGTAGTGCACGCCTGTAGTTCCAGCTGCTTGGAAGGCTGAGGCGGAAGGATCGCTGGAGCCCAGCAGGTTGAGACTGCGGTGGCTGTGAGCATGCCACTGTACTCCAGCCTGGGTGACAAAGTGAGACTCTGACTAAAAAATAAATAAATAAATAATAATAATAAAAAAAAATATTAAACTATGCGATGTGTATCAAATTAGATTTTTTTTTTTTAGTTTATGTTAACAGAGATTCTTCCTGGGGAGTGAAAGTGGGTACTTTTTACTTTTTAGTTCTACTTCTTTTTTTTTTTTTTTTTTTTGGAGTCTTACTCCATTGCCCAGGCTGGAGTACAGTGGCATGCTTATGCCACCCCAGAGTTGACCTGCCAGGCTCCAGCGATTCTTCCGCCTCAGCCTTCCAAGTGGCAGGAACTACAGGCACGTGCTACTGTGCCCAAATAATTTTTTGATTTATTGTAGTTATGAGGTCTCGCCAAGTTGCCCAGGCTGGTCTCAAACCCGTGGGCTCAGGCAATCCTCTCCCCTCAGCCTCCCAAAGTGCTGGGATTACAGGCTTGAGCCACTGCAATTCTACTTATTTCTATACTGCTTGGATTTCTTTTATACACAGAATAGTTTTGTAATTTAAAAAAATCTAATTACTAAAAAAATAAATAAATAAACCACTCACCTTAATATTATTTCCTGCCAAATTCAGCCATTCCAAATGTACTAGTTCCTTTAGCCCTTCCACATAGCCAATGCTATTATGAGGCAAATTTAATACCCGGAGTTGAGTCAGCTTGGCCACACCCATCATCCGCACCAGACGATTGTTAGCCACTGATAACTGTGAAAAGGAAACATATTGCTATTTCTAGAAACCACAACAACAAATATATAAACATAATGTAAATATATATATATATTTTTAACTTTCATATTAAAGTGATTAAATGAGGTTTGTTTAGATGGCTAAACATTCCCCAAAATACAAGCCCTTTTTGTACTTTTCATATACGTTGTCTAAATACTCTACAGTATGACTCTGCTTTTTGTTGCTGCTGTTCCTCAGCAATAGAAAACACAGATAAAGCTGAGCAATCACACCTCTTCCAACTACTGAAGATATTTTTAACACAGTAACAACTTGAGAATGTAAGGTCCCCAAGAACAGGGTCCTTACACTCTTTGTGTCAGTCATACAAGAGAGACTCCATAAACAACTCTTGGATGAAGAAATGAATGAACTCTTTAGCCCAACCATGAGGTAAAAAGTTATCTTAACAACTTAATATTTTGCCCACATAAAATGTTTCCTTTTTAGAACAATGCTTCTTTTTCTAATGTACTTTAAATGTGCACACATGTGTTCATGTTCAAGAGAAACTGTCATACAAAAATTTAAGGCAATATTTACTGCTTTCCAGGTCTTTTGTGAGGTTGTTTGTTTTATTTTGTTTAATTATAAATTGGTCCTATCTATTTCCTAGATAGCAATACCCACCTGTATTAATCGTTTACATTTCTCCAGATTTTCCAATTTAATAATCTGATTTTTATCCAGTATCAAAGTGTGAATATCAGCTTCACAGGGTAAATTCGGACCTAATTTCTGTAGTCCCTGCCCTGACCAATTGACCACTGATCCTTGAAAAGAGAAGGAAATTTGTTAAAAACACAAATAAAATTAATACAACAGCTGAGCATAGGGACAGAATTATAAATCTCTACACATTTCAAGTTAGAACGGAGTATAATAAATATCAAGATCTTAAAACTAAAGCAATCTTGAGTTCTAAATTACCACAGATCGAGTTACTGACTTTTCCTCAGAAATATCTAATTACAACTAGAGTTATGATGGTCTACTCAAGTTTCTATGATATAATACTTTGGAATTCTTCACATTTAAATATAATCGATTACTTCCATATTTTGGACCTTAGTAATGATCATACTGTTTACAAGGAACTCAACTATTGATAGAGATTGACCTGCTTACAGCCTACCTACCAGTGACTAAATGATTTTGAAAATCAAAGTAGAATTCAGTTAATTTGGTTGTAAAATTAAATTAGTACACTCATTTCACTAAGCTGATGTGGGGAATATGATCAGCCCTTAGCCCCATTTCTAGAACAAGGTATTCAGTTAAGCACTTTAGTATAACATAACAGAAGTTCCTGGCTCCACCAGTTAATCTCCGCGGTACCTTGAGCAAGTTATTGATTTCTTTGGGGCTCACTTTTCTTTTTTTTTCTTTTTTCTTTTTTTTGAGTTGGAGTCTCACTCTGTCGCCCAGACTGGAGTGCAGAGGCCGCTCCCGGCCACCGCAGCCTCGACCTGCTGGGCTCCGGCGATCCTTCCGCCTCAGCCTTCCGAGTAGCCAAAATTACAGGCGCACGCTACCACGCCCGGCTAATTTTTTATTTTATTGTAGAGATGAAGTCTTGCTGCCCAGGCGGGTCTCGAACCCGCGGGCTCCGGCAATCCACTCACCTCAGCCTCCCAAAGCGCGGGATTACAGACTGAGCCACCGAGCCCGGCTGGGGCTCACTTTTCTACTCTGATAATAATACCTGCCTTATGAATGTACACAGAAAACCCGACCATGTAGGAAAAGCACTCAGAATACCCTCCGGCAGGTCGGCGCGGTGTCTCACACCTCCCATCCCAGCACACTTGCAGGCTGAGGCAGGAGGATCGCTTGAGCCTAGGAGTTCGAGACCAGTCTGGACAACATAGCAAGACCCCTGCCTCTATTTTTAAAAAATAATGATATAAAGAACATCGTCTGGCTCATAAAAAGTCTCTACAAATGTTAATGCCATTATTGTCAGTTAGGAACCCTTGGTGGGCTAGAGAGGTGGAGCTTAAGAAAAGCAGATCTCGAAGGGGGCGGGGTCAGAGAGACTGCCAATTTCAAATGTATACCCAGATTAAGAGGACTGCGGGAAATAATCATGCAAGATTGCTCTTCTAGAAGGTTTCAGCGTTTTCCCAGTGTCGAATGGCTCTTGGCATGTGAGGGCTCATGGGTCCTTGGGAGAATTTGATGAAAGCTGTGTGCTGAACTAGAAAAGTGCACAGTGTTTGCACACGATTGCAAGGGGTCTACAGACATCTTAAATCCATCCGCCAGTTCCTCTCCCAAGAATTTACGGCTCCCAGAAAATGAGCTTCTGGTTCAAGTCGTGGAGACCGGCCTCGACCCTGGCCCTGGTTCTGGCCCCGGCCCCGGCCCTGATCCCGAGGGCTGCGGCCAAGCCTTGGAACCGTAACCAAAACAAAAGGCGCTCGCGTCCGGCGCCTCACAGAGGTTTCTCTCGGCCACAAAGGCACCCATACCCCCGCGCTTTGCTGGACAGCGACCAACCCCCCTCTTCGGACCCGTCTGCAGAAAAAAGGAGAGAACGGTGGACTCTGGATCAAGCCCCAGATGTTATTACGGCCTCTCCAAGGAAAGGTTCAAAGCCAGCCTAAGGAGCAGTATCTAAGGGAAGGTTTCCTGAACGTTCTAGGAATCGAGGGGAGAAGCGGCAGCTTCAGGCTAAAGAGGGAAATCCTGCACATTTCGCTTGGGCACCAGGGACTCCAAGTAAATGTCCAAAAAAGGTCACCGCAGTCCGAAACCCCCCGCCCCTGTCATCCTCCGGAGCGCGGGAGCCAGGGCGCCCGGCCGCGCGAAGACCTCTGGGGGTTGTAGTCCCCCGTTCGGCCTTCGCCGCGACGCCGGAGAGTTGAGCAGCGCAGCAGGGGAACTACAACTCCCAGGGGGCAGCGCGCCTCCGCGACGCCCACAGCCCCGCATCAAAAGAACTGGTCCAGAGCTGCATCTCTAAACCCAGGCATCTCCTCTCCAGCAGGCATCTATGTAATTCAGCCCTGTGGAGTAAACCTGGGGACTCAGGGGTGGAGATCGCCTTACCTTCTCCGGGAGGCAAAGCCGCGTCCTCGCGCGCCGCCGCCATATTTGCCGCTTGCTAATAACGCCAAGCAACCGTCCTCCAGCGCTCTGTGGAGCTTGTAGGCTGGAGGAGGGGATCGGAAACTATAACTCCCAGGATGCACCGCACCCAGGCGGCCCAATGGGCTGCCTTCGCCTCGTGACGTCAACTGGAGCGAGCTTCTGAGCGACAGTGGGTTCTGGGACCCTGGTCCGTTCCCTCACCTGACTGTTGAGCGATCGGCCTTATCAGGTGATCGTTCTTCTCCTTTCTCCAGGTGTGTGTGAAATTTGACACTTTGTCAGGATGATTGTACGGACGCTGACTTTAATGCGGACCGAACTTGAGAGCGCACTGCTAGAAGTCTCTGTGGAGGCTGCCCCATTCTTTTCATAATTCTGAATAAGCTTTAAGTTCTCAACTCCCGCTGTAGGAATGACTTGAGCGATTTTGTGGAGATGATCCTCCAAGATGTGTACGGAGCATTTGAAATTTTCGTTAAGTAAAAGCGTTTAAAGCATACTAAAAATAGAAGTAGAAACTTGTAAACACTTGTATTTGTAAATGGGGTTATTCTTGAATATTTAACCGAACTTTTGAAGTGTAGGCATATTTAACAAGTGTGATCGCAGAATTTTTCTAGGAAGTATGCAAAAGAAGCTTAAAATAGTCTCAAGACGCAAGAATTCCATTGCCTAGGCGGAAGAGAGCAAGCTCACACGTTTGATATAGCTATTACATGCTAAATGGTGTGATTGTAGCTATGAACTCAATAAGATTTCAGGGAACGAAGAGAGAAATGGAAATTATAAGCTTCAGTGAAGACTTGGAGGAAGTGAAATGTAGCTCGGGCTTAAAAGATGGGTAAACTCTAAACAGTTCAGAATAAGGTGAAAAGTCAGCACAGACTGCAGGTATTAATGAAGCTGTGCTCACTGTGAGAAATGAACCTGATAGTGCCACAGAATACACAAGAAGAACTTCCACTTTCTACTACCAGCTCCCCTATTTCCTCTTGCAACCTTTATTCTGAACTCCCCTCTTTCTGAAACAGCAGTCTCCAAAGTCTGATCGTTTTTTGCTTGAGAAAGTTTGCTAACACAGGTGTTGAGATTTCCAGGCACTTGATTCTGTGAACATCCTCTCCTTGGATTCTCCTGACTCTCTGCACTTGCCTTAACTCCTTTTGACTCTTTTATCTTTCTCTATTTTCGTCTAAAGACAAATTTCCTAGTTCTGAGGAGGAAATTAAGGGTATAAATTTTTTTCCCTCTAACCAAGAGACCCCTTACCTAGAGAACCTAGTCTTACTATATGTTTAAAAACAAAGCAAGTCTGAATACTGCGTTCTATTAACCTGTGTTCCCTGGAATAAGCCATGAGGACTGCGGAGAATACCTAGCTAAGGGAGGGGAAAAGGGTTTACAGTTCTCTCCAATTTAGCAAGATAATGATTTGGGAAGGGGGTCCTGGAAGCTTAGAGGGTACTTGAGGAACACAGGTTTTGGCAAGTTTACAGCAATAGCTGAAACAGAGTTTTGTCTGCCCTGGGATCTTGAGGAAAAAGTCAAAGGGCTCCTTTTACAGGATAACTAAGCATAGTCATTATGCTTAAAGAGAGTAACCTTATATTCCTGGGCAAGGACTCATGTGCCCAAGTGACCCAGCAGCCCTTTAAAATCACTGTACAGAAAATCTTATGTGCTTCAGGTACACTTTTTACATCTGAAATCAAGTTGCTACACTTTAGTTAAATAGCCTCATTTTGAATATGTTCAAATCTACAAGCCCCAACCAAATTGGATGATTCTACTGATTAAACCATGACCCTCTCAGCAAGGTAGTATTTCTTTGGCAGGTCCAGGCAGTACATGAAGGACTTTCCTTTTATATCAGCACATTATACTTGATCCCTACAACAGCTGATTACCCTGACTCATCTCTGCCATTTCTAATTCCTCTGCCCACTGTTACTGGCAAAACCTAAAAAAAAAAAAAAAAGCAAGGGCTCCTTTTACAGGATAACTAAGCATAGTCATTATGCTTAAAACCTTTTAGCTTGTTAATATCTTCCTCAAGGCTGGGCTCCTAGCACTTTGAGAGGCTGCAGGGGCTGAGGTGGGAAGATCACTTGAGGCCAGGATTTCAAGAGCAGGCTGGGCAACATAGTGAGATACTCTGTATCTAAAAAAAAAAAAAGTTTCAAAAAAAGAAAAGTATTCCTCAAAAACTTCTCACTTGAAATTCAACTTGCAAGGGCCACCATAATCTGACCTCACCTGCTTCCCACCATTCATTCCACTAGTTTTCATTTGGTATTTTTGAGTAAGGGATTGACATAATGAAACTTGTGTTTTAGAAAGGTTAAACTGCTCAAATAACAAAGATGAACTGAAAGGTAGAATAGTGGCAGAAAGGAGACTATTGTGATAGTGGTTGGTAACCTTCAACGGAGCAGTTTCAGGAGAATATTATAAACAAGTTCAGATAGCATGAAGAGATTAAGTAGACAAGAAACTGGAACATTTGTGGATAGTGCAAGTGACCTTGACAACATGAAGGTGTTTTTCTAATTAGAATTGAAATTTTCATATTTGAAAGAAGTAAATATAACTTTGAAGTATTCATTCAAGTTTTAAAACTAAGAAGTTATTAATATAAAGAATTTTGATTCTGTAAAGATTTAGAAAATATGCCAATTTTTTTTTTTTTTTTTCTGAGTTGGAGTCTCACTCTGTCACCCAGGCTGGAGAGTAGTGGCACGCTCCCGGCCACCGCACCCTCTACCTGCTGGGTACAGGCGATCCTTCCACCTCAGCCTTCCAAGTAACTGGAACTACAGGCACACGCCACCATGCCCAGCTAATTTTTTTATTTATTGTAGAGATGAGGTCTCAATAAGTTGCCCAGGCTGGTCTCGAATCTGCAGGCTCAGGCACTCCTCTCACCTAAGCCGCCCAAAATACTGGGATTATAGGCATGAGCCACCACACCCAGCCAATTTTTTAACAATTAAAAAATCTTGATACAGAGGTTTAGGTATGTAATTAAATGTTTTCTTCCTTGTTTAGCATTGGTAGAATCTTTTGGTCCTGCTTCCTTATTTATAACCTATGACTCAGGAGAGACTGCCTACATGAAATATCTATAATACAGGTTATTTAGAAGTCCCAAATAATATGAACTTTCCCCATTATTATTATCATCATTACCTATCTCCTATTATGTGCTAGGCTTTGTCATAACTACTGTACATACAAGGGGGATCCCAAAAAAACTGGAATTATTTTTGGAGGGTATGCCCCTTGTAGTATAGGCTTCCTCTGCTAAGTAAATGTTCTAGGAACCCGTTGGCATCAGTGTACTAGCTAGCATTGTTGTGAGAGACTGTTGGGCTTCAGTGAATTTTTTTGGAGAGTCTTTCAACATATTTGCCCATTTCTTGATGGGTGATTTACATGAATAACCGGCCCACATCACACTGAATATTCAGCAGTTATTGACCAAAAACAGCATTAGCCCCATGCCCCACCCTCCCTATTCACCCAATCTTGCCCCAAGTTACTTTTTGTTGTTTCCTCGGATGAAAAAAATCCTCAAAGGGAAACATTTTGCTGATGTGAAAGAGGTGAAACAAAAAACAGCAGAAACACTAAAAGGCATCAAAATGGATGAGTTCAAAAACTGTTCTGAGCAGTGGAGAAAGTGTCTTGATGGGTGTATTGTATCAAGTGGAAAATACTTTGAAGGTGACTGACATTTAAACATGTAAGAATAAATACACACCAGGCTTGGTGGCTCATACCTGTAATCCCAGCACTTGGGGAGGCAGAGGCAAGAGGATTGCCAGAGCCCAGGGGTTTGAGACCAGCCTGGGCAACTTGGCGAGACCTCATCTCAAAAAAAAAAAAAGCAAAGCAAAGAAATAAGAAATACACCATTTTTTATAAATAAATTCCTGGGTCTTTGGGGTTCCCCCCCTTGTACATTAGCTCTAATCTTCACAAAATCCCTACAAGTAGATCCCAAGAGGTTAATGTTATGGTTGCGAGATACAATACAAGACACCCAGTTCAGTCTGAATTTCAGATAAAGACAAATTTTTAGCTTAAGTATGCCCCAAATATTCGTGCATATTGTGATATATGTCTTATGTAATACTTACACACAGCATTTTACAGTATTTTTAAAAGTGCTATCGCTGGGCTCGGTGGCTCAGCCTGTAATCCCGTGCCTTTGGGAGGCTGAGGTGAGTGGATTGCCTGAGCCCGCGGGTTCGAGACCCGCCTGGGCAGCGAGACCTCATCTCTACAATAAATAAAAAAATCAGCCAGGCGTGGTAGCATGCGCCTGTAATTCCGGCTACTGGGAAGGCTGAGGCGGAAGGATTGCCGGAGCCCAGCAGGTCGAGGCTGCGGTGGCCGGGAGCAGCCACTGTACTCCAGTCTGGGTGACAGAGTGAGACTCCAACTCAAAAAAACAAAACAAAAAAAAAACAACAACAAAAAACATGTACTGCCCATACAATCAGAAAACAATAAAATGAAAAGTCAATTGTTCTGAATTTAGAAAGAATTGTGCTTTTATTATTTTAGTAGGAATTACACATAACAGAAACCAGCAGAAAAGGTTATACATACTAATAGTTTCATGTGTGGGATTCAATCGTAGCTCATGCAGCCTCAAACTCCTGGGATCAAGTGATCCTCCCACCTCAGCCTCCAGAGTTACTAGGACTACAGTACATGCCACCACACCTGGCTAATTTTTTATTTTTGTAGAGATAAAGGTCTCACTGTGTTGCACAGGCTGGTCTTGAACTCCTGTTCTCAAGTGATTCTCCCACCTCAACTCCTGAGTTGCTGGGATTATAGGCATGATCTATCACACCTGAACTCCAAAAAATAAATTTAGGACCAAAGTTAAAGAATTTAAACAGGGCCAGGCACAGTGGCTCAAGCCTGTAATCCCAGCAATTTGGGAGGCCAAGGAAAGAGAACTGCCTGAGTCCAGGGGTTCAAGACCAGCCTGGGCAACTTAGTAAGACCTCTTCTCTACCATAAATGAAAAAAGTAGCTGGGTGTGGTGACACCTACCTACAGTTCCAG